GACTGAGGAGCAAAAGGTTGAGTTACAGGAAGAGGAGAACCATCCCTTCAGCAAAATTGGGCATGAAAGCAATGAATCGATGCTGCTTTTAAGCCAGAACTGAGTACCTATCGTCGTTTTGATGTAGGACTCCAGATCGAAGACTGCAAGTAGACGCCGTGTCTGCTGTTGGGCTACTTTCGTGTGTACTGAAATTATGTGATGTAGTAGTAATTGTTCTGTTGGTGAATGTGGAGTTTCGTGTGAGATTTAAAGCTTGGTGACTCCTAGAAGGGGGGTATGTATTAAAAAGGATAACTCATATGCGAGTGATAAAAATGTTTATTTTGCTTGTTAATGCTTCAGAAGACTCAAGTCATATGCGAATCATATGCAAGGAATTTTATCCTATGTGAAATTGCGTGGTACATCCATTTACAGGGAGACCTCTTCGTCGAATTCTGTGTTTGCTTATTCGAGGGACATAATGAAAGGAGAAAAACAACCCGCAGTATGTGAAATTATGTCACACATTCCATTAACAGAGAGAGTTTAATTAACTTGTGCACGTAGAAAAGAGGAAGAGAGAAAACTAAAGAGGAGAAATTCAAAATAAAGCAGAAGCTAGTAGTTAAGAGCTCGTTTTTTTTAACGAGATAATTTTTCCTTCGTTCTTGAGAGATTCTTCGTTGTTTTTGATTGTTTCTTTGTTATTCTTGAGAGATTCTTCGTTGTTTTTCCAAGGAGATTCATTGAGATCTCGTTGCTAGGGTTGTTTGCCTCAATTGCTAGGGTTGTTCAGTGAAAAAAAAAAGAAAAAGAAAAAAATGACGAATTTGAGAGTATCTTCGTTGACTGTCGAGAGGCCCAATGGATCTTTGGTGAAGAATTCAGAGGAAGCCTTGGGGATAAAAGATTTTGTAGCTCGTAGTATTTGGGGAGATTTTTCGAAGCCCATTCCTGTTGAGCCCAATTCATGGCCTGCTTTAGAAAATACTAGGGTTTCTGAGGAGGCAGGTTTGATTTCTACGGGTGGGATTGATTTGGGTAGATCTCAAGAAGCTTTAACGGCTGGAGGAGATGAAGGCGAATGGGTTAAAGTGGTGAAAAAGAATCGGAGCCCTAGATCGCCGCTTTCTCATCTCAAAAATTCTGCTCCTCGCCGATTTCTCTCGGCTAATTTTGTTCGAAGAAATCGATTGTGCTTTCGTTGTGGGGGTTCGAAGCATATGGCGAAGGATTGTAGAGATCCAATAGTGTGCTTCAGGTGTCAAGAAGTGGGTCATGAGGCGAGGAATTGTAGATCTGGAGTTCCTGGCCATGGATCTGATAACAGTGGTCGAGGGAATGGTGGTGGTAGAGGCTTTGGCTTTGAAGGTATAGGTCGTAATTTTGGAGGTAGGGTTTTTCCTGGAGGTCGTGGTAATGGGGGTCGTTTTGGGGGAAGATTTGGGAGATCTGATGCCAACCCCTGGCAATGGCAACGAGAGAAGGCGGTCACTGCTTTTTCTTCATCAGGAGCTCAAGATCGATCGTCAAGAAATCAAGATCGGCTTCTGAAGAATGTTCATTTAGACAAAGGTAAAAGACCTATTTCTTTGGTGGATAGTGAAAAAATACATGATTCTATACTTCAATTTCAAGATCAGGGACCGAGGGATTTTGGGGATCTGGAGGCTGAGTTAAAAATTTCAGGTGATCACCCTCGCTTCTCTGCTGCTGTTCTTAATTTTGAGGGAGAAGTGAACTCTGGTTTTCAAAAATTTAGAAATTATGCTATTATTTCTTTTGTGGAAGGTGGTAATATTTCTCTGGAGAGATTAGAGTTGGATTTGAGAGCTTTTTTTTCCTATGAATAAGCATTGGGATGTGAGATTGTTTACAAATGGCGAGGTTTTGGTTAAAATTCAACCTTGGAGACAGATGGATGATATGATTAAGATGGGGGTTATCTCTCTGAGATCTTGCAAAATTAAACTCCGTCGATGGAATGCTTGGGAAGGGAATGTGATTGAGAAAAGAAATTCTTGTGTATGGATCAAATTGAAAAATGTTCCACCTCATTTGTGGAATAAGGAATCTTTTGATTTGATGGTGAAGCCTTTTGCAGATCTTGTAGAACTTGATTCCTTAACAAGTGCTGGTACGGAATTTGTGGATGCTGTATTGTTGGTTAGGTGCATGGAGTATATTGATGTTCCTAAGATGCTGAAGATTTTTGTTGGCAAGAATCAATATAATGTAGAAGTGTCTATTATGTCTGTTATGGGGGAAATTAATGAAGGAGAAAGGAAAAAACAGAAAATAGACCAGGAGGAAAATGATTCTAAACAGAATTCTTATAATGATAAATGGTTTAAGGGAAGAAAAGATAGTGGAACTGGGTCTTCTTCGTTGATAGGGTCTGATAATAATTCTTGGTCTGTTAAACAGGATTTGAGAAAAACTCCATGATAATCTCCTGCTGCTAGGCTTTGGATGGATGCTAAAAACTTTTATCAGAAACAAAGTTCTGGATGGGAACCTTGGGGAGTTAATATGTTGAAAGATAATAGTGTGGAACAATTTCTAGAAAAGTTGTTGATGGATGGGATAGAAGAAAATGTTGTAAACATGGAAAGATCAGAAGAAGATTTTAGCAAAAATGAGGATTTGGTTGTTAATATTCCTTTGTTTTCTGAAGTTAGAGAAGAATCAGCTGTGGAGGAGGAAGCTAACATTAGTGAAAAATGTGATGAGGATTTTAGTAAAAATGAGGAATTAGTTGTTCATATTCCTATGTTTTCTGAGGTTAGAGAAGAACCAATTGTGGAGGAGGATTCTAACATAAGTGATGAATCCAAAGGCAAAGCTATCATAATTAATGAAGATTTTACTTCTGACAAGGGGTTATCATTTCCAAATAACACTGAGGAAGAAATGGTTAAAGAAGATGACATTCTTATGATTCAACCTTTGAAGTCTCTGCCACCTGAAGACCCAATTTGTAATAAGAAGGTTTCTTTTGTTAGAAGATGTGCCAGATTTGCTGCTCTTGAGCCAATGTCTGCTTTGGATAGAGCTACTTCCAGAATGGAACAGATTGACAACAACCTTACTCCTGGAATTGGCACTGGAGGGTCAGGTGAATCTTCTTCTTCTTCTTCAATGGGTTCTTCTTTTGTTCCAATTCTGTTTGAAAATTGTTCTAACCATCAATTACAGAAATATGCATCTAAATGTGCTATTTTTCTTGAGCCTCAGGAGAATTTTGATCCTATTAAAAAAGTGAGGCAGATGGAACAAGAGAGAGCTACTTTTTCTTGAGCCTCAGGAGAATTTTGATCCTATTAAAAAAGTGAGGCAGATGGAACAAGAGAGAGCTACTTTTGAGTAGACTCTAGAATTTTGATCCTATTAAAAAAGTGAGGCAGATGGAACAAGAGAGAGCTACTTTTGAGTAGACTCTGCTCTTCCTTTTCTGAGGTGTTTGTTTTGGTAACATGTTGATTACATGGAATGTCAGAGGTTTAGGGTTGGATACAAAAAGATTTGGTGTTAGAGATTTCTGTCAGTTAAACAAATTTGATATTATTTGTTTACAAGAAACTAAGCTGAGTTCTGTTACTGAAAATATTTTAAAGAGTCTGGGGGGTAATTTGTTTGATTGGTCTTATATACCCTCTGAAGGCTCTTCTGGTGGAATTATGATTGGATGGAATAGCTCTAGTTGGAAGAAGCTACAAGAGAAAACTGATAAATATGTTTTGACTGTGGTTTTACAAAGTAAAAAAGAATGGTTTTAAATGGACTCTTTCTTCAGTATATGGTCCACACTGTAATAGAGAGAGGCTGGTGTTTTGGCAAGAGCTGAAAGATATTAAAAATATTTTTTCAGGCCCTTGGATTGTGGTTGGAGATTTTAATGTTACTTCCAATTCTTTTGAAAGAAAAGGTAAATGTAATCATAGAAGAGAAATGGAGGAGTTTAATGATGTTATTAATGAGTTGGAATTGATTGACAGCCCTTTACATGGGAGAAAATTTACTTGGTCAAATAAGAGAAGGCTCCTTCTATGGCTAGGTTGGATAGAGTTTTTTTCAACTCTGATTGGGAAGATATTTTTCCTTTTTCTAAACAACAAGGGCTTAGCAGTCAATTATCTGATCATGCTCCTATTAGTTTTGACTTTGGGGATACTGAATGTTATGTTAAAAAATTCAGATTTGAAAAAATTTGGTTGAGATCTGATGAGTTCCTAAATAATGTGCCTGTCTAGTGGAGATGTGCTCCTTCAAGTGGTTCTGCAGCTAAGAATATAGTTGGTAAACTCAGGTTTATGAGGAAATGTATAAAACAATGGGTGCATTTAAATTTTCATAGTGTGGGACAACAAAAGAAAGATTTATTAGATAATCTTTTAACTTGGGAAGTTATGGAGGAGAATAGAGATTTGTCTGATGATGAGTTGATTAAAAAAAATGATACTGTTTTACAGTTGAATGAAATTTTATTATAAGAAGAACAAATGTGGAAACAGAGATCTAAAGCTCATTGGTTAAAAGAGGGGGATCATAATACTAAGTACTTTCATAAAATTGCCAATGGGAGAAAGAGAAGTAATTTGATCTCTTCTATTACTTATAATAATGTTGAAATTAGTTCTGAAGATGGCATAGCTCAGGTTTTTTTAAACCATTACAATCAAATATTTGGAAATAAGGTCACTAACAGGTGTATCCTTGATTGGAATAGATTGTTCCCTGAATTTGATTGGGGGCCCAATGACATTGAACAACCTTTTTCAGTTGAAGAAGTTCACAAAGCTATTTTTGATATGAATGGGGATAAATCCCCTGGTCCTGATGGTTTTTCTGCTCTATTCTTTCAAGTGTTTTAGGACACAGTGAAAGATGATATTATGAAATTGTTTGAGGAATTTTATGAAGGTACTCTAGAAATCAATAGACTGAATTATGCTCATATTGTCCTTATTCCTAAAAAGGAGGATTCTTCTGTAATTAATGATTACAGACCCGTCAGTCTTCTTAATGTGATATATAAAGTGATTACTAAAGTCCTCACTAACAGGTTGAATACTAAGCTTGATTTGCTTATTGATCCTTTACAATCTGGCTTTATTAAAAATAGATACTTGCTTGATGGGGTAGCTGCAGCTCAAGAGATTATCAATGATTGTTTTCAAAATAAGAAAAGAGGGGGGATTTTATTAAAACTAGACTTTGTGAAAGCTTATGATATGCTGGATTGGGATTTTATTTTTGATGTTTTGAAGGCTAAAAAATTTGGGGATAAATGGATTCACTGGATGAGAATATGTTTACATGGGGGAATGTCTGTCATTGATGTTAATGGCAAAGTAGGGAAGTGGATCATGTCTAAGAGAGGGGTGCGTCAAGGAGATCCTTTGTCTCCTCTTTTGTTTGTTTTGGCAGCTGATTCTTTTACCAAAATGTTAAATTTAGCAGTTGAATCCCATTTTATTGAAGGTTTAGGACCCAATAATATGAGAGATAAAGTTCATTGTCTACAATATGCAGATGATACACTGATTTTCTGCAAAAATAATAGAGAACAGTTGACAGTTTTGAAATTGATTCTCTACTGTTTTGAATTAGCATCTGGTTTGCAGATTAGTTTTAACAAGAGTGTTCTTATTGCTCTTGAGAATGATGAATCATTACAACAGGGTTTGGCTACTATGATGAATTGTAAAAGTGGTAGCTTCCCTATTACTTATATTGGGATGCCTTTAAGACCTGGGAAGTTAAAAAAAGATGACCGGTCTCCTCTGATTAGTAAAATTGAGAAAAGGTTAGCCTTATGGAAAGGAAATTCCCTATCAAGAGGAGGTAGATTAGTATTAGTTAATGATGTTCTCTCCTCTATACCAACTTTCTGGCTTTCTTATTTTTTATTTCCTGTATGGGTTATTGAAAAAATTGATAAGATGAGAAGAAGATTTCTATGGAGTGGCTCTTTGGAACATAAAGGTTGTTCAAATTTGGTTAAATGGGATGAAGTTTGCAAACCGAAAAAGTGTGGTGGATTGGGAGTTAAAAATTTGAAGGTTATGAACAAAGCTCTTTTAGGGAAATGGCTATGGAAATGGTTTGATGTTAAACCTAGTCTTTGGAAACAAGTCAGTTTTCATAATTATTTTGAAAAAAAACCTTGGTCTGAATTTTTATATTCGGACAGATTGCAACTTTCATATTTCTGGAAAAGTATTTTGGCTAATGCTGACAGCTTCTTATGCAGTACTCGAGTGGAGATTGGCAATGGAAATTATTGTAGGCGTTAAAAAATGCTGAAAGATATACAAATACAGCTCAGAAGGAGATCATCCAAAATGTCAAAAAAGAACACAAGTATAGACTATCTCGCACGCGAGACAGTCTTTACTGTCTCGCACGCGAGACAGATTTGACTGTCTCGCCGTGCGAGACAGTCTTTACTGTCTCGCGGGCGAGACAGACTTTTACTGTCTCGCCGTGCGAGACAGACTTTACTGTCTCGCAGTGCGAGATAGAATTTACTGTCTCGCACGTGAGACAGCTCTCAGATGGTCAGAACCACCCTTGAACAAATCACACCGTCCATTAACTGCTAAAGAAATGGGGAGCGGTCGTGGGGCGAGAACACGTGATAACTCGCCAAATAACGAGATTAAAACGTGGAAGGCAGTTAAAAACGAAAATGCCTGACGGTTTACTGTTTCCGAGACAGCAAACACTGTCTCGGCCAGCGAGACAGCAAACACTGTCTCGCCCGCCGAGACAGCAAATGCTGTCTCGCGAGCACTGTTCATCCAGAGGGTTATAAATACCCCCGAAGGCCATTTTCACAAGGGCGGCCAGCAGAGATCCAAGGCTGATCATTGTTTTAAGCACTTCAGAGCAATTCAGAGCAGAGAGAGGGCAGAGTACTCGAGCTTCAGCAACTCCTTGATATTCAGGCTTTGACTTGATTTCAAGAAGAACGACTATCTTACCTTGATAAGATATCGTTTCAAATTCTCACTTCGATAAACGAAGTCAGAATCAGTCAACCCCCTCTTTACGATCTGTGATTCGGCGGTCCACGAACCAAAGCGTTCCCGACACAGGCAAAGTCCCACGAAAACAAAGATCGATAGACGATTTTTGTGTTTGTTTCTCAAAAGTTGTAATTTTCGCTTTGTTGTGTAGAAAAAGTCTTATAAAAAGATTATTCTTTCGTTCTTATGCAGTACTCGAGTGGAGATTGGCAATGGAAATTATGCTTTATTTTGGTTGGATAAATGGTTAGGTTCATTTACTCTTGCCTCATTATTTCCTTCTTTATTCTCTTTCACTACATCTCCTTATGCTTGTGTGAGTAGTTTGAGGAAGTTTGAAAATGATTCGTGGAGATGGGAGATTCATTTTAAAAGGCAGTTGACAGGTTCTTTGGTGTTACAATATCTTAGTATGATGAATCTTATTAACTCAAAGAACTTTGTGTATCATGATGATAAAAGAGAATGGATATGGGAGACAAAAAAGATGTTTACAGTTAAATCCTATTATATTTTTCTTAATGATGGAGGAGTGAGATATGATTGTATGAATTTATGGGGCCTCCCTGTTCCTTTAAAGGTTAAGGTCTTAGTTTGGTTGGCTTTAAGGGAGAGTTTAAACACTAAAGATATGCTGAATAGAAAGGGTATTCAAGTAGAGAAAACATGTTGTTTATGTTCAGCAAAAGATGAAGATCATGCACATTTATTTCTTAACTGTGAGTTTGTATACTCAATTTGGAGATCTATTCAATTCAAGTTAAACACTGATAATGAATTTAGAATGAATTCTTTGAAAGAAGTTTGGCTTTGCTGGAGTGGTGGTATTGATGGTGAATCTAATTTGAAGAAGTTAGTGTGGATTTGCTCCCTGATCTGGTCTGTGTGGCAGGAACGCAATGATAGATTGTTCTCTAATAAACAGAAAGGATCTCTTCTCCTTCTAAATAAAATAGTGACTTATTCAACCTTTTGGTTAGGTTCTAAAGGGATCTCTGCTCGAGCTGCTCGGTTACAAGAAAGGAGGAGAAAAAAAACTACTGGGAGACTTATCAGTGATGACGCAGGTACTGGCGGGATGGCTGAGTTCCAGGTGATCCAGTTGGAATAGATGGTTTTGTGTGGTTTGGAAGATGGAAAAGATAAGTCTATGTTTTTTGCTGTTGTGTATATCATGGGGTTATATTCAACATTCTAGTTTGCTTTGTTGGTTTTTCTTTTGTTCTCTTTTGAGAGATTATGCCTGATACTTAGGCTATGGGAGTGTGGTTTGGCTTTGTAAGTTTTTGGTATAAACAGTAAGTGCATGCTCTATGGTTGGGAGTATGTTCTTCTTTTGTAACAACCAAATCTTAATTTAGCTGGCTGGAATACCTTTGTGGTATTCCATCCTTTTTCTCAAAAAAAAAACTTGTGCACGTAGAAGATAAATTATAAATTCTCTCTCTTTATGTATAAATTGTCAGAATGATCTTATTTCAAGTGTTTTAAATCTTTAGCAACAAACTGAAGGAAGTATAATACAGAAAGATATCACGAATGTGGATCAGTTAGATGACAGGTGAAGCACATAGCTTATGAATTAGGTACTGCAAAAAATAATATTCAACCAGCAACAGGTTCAAGACTGGTCTGAGGAGTGCATGATGCGTGCACCATATAAATGTTTAATGAGGTGGAAAGAGTAGTTAAAACCTATATACAAGCTTAATTGCAGAAGCACACCCTTGTATAAATGGAGTTCACCCACTCACTGATGCCGAAAGTTTTTTTATTAGCACTTAGACGTTCTGATGTCTGAATTAAGTCATCCCTCTGTTATTTGTACGTGTAACTAACTTCAATGTGTTGCAGAGAGATCACAAATGTTTATGAAGGTGGAAAGGATGGTTTTAGGCTCTAGCTGACAAGGTATCTCCAAACTTGAGTTAAAAATTAGCAACAGATACAAAATTTTAAAACAAATACTTACAACTGAACGTTGATAGATCCTTTGAATGTGTGTAATTTGTACTCACACTTGAATGCAAGTACCCGTACAGAGAAATTAAATAATATCTGACAAATTTTCAAGTATCCATGTGTTCCCGTTGACAAACAAAACTATGGCATCATTAAGATGAAACTACGCATACCTGTTTTATAAATCATCAAGGTGCTCATTCCTAGTTCTGTCAACTTCCTGAATCACAGGCAAAATGATTCATTCATACGGTCGCAAAATGCAACCAAACTCAATAAAAAGACATAAAAAAAATCTGGCCAAATTTTAATTGATGAGAACTTGACTCCGCGAGAAATTGAGAGAAAAACTGAAATTCTTGATTGGATCTTCTCATGCTATTATTCATGAATACACATCGAACACTGAGATTACGCATTGAATTTCTAGCACGCGGATTAAATATTTACTAATGCGAATATTTAAATGGAAGAAAATAAAATATAGAGCGTTTTTCTTCCTCTAGATTTATCCCTTTATATACTGTCCTTCATCATGTCAGTCTTCAGCCTTCATTGTCCCAACCTAGAGAACAGAAGTTGCCGATTGTGGAATTTTTGAGCAGCGGAGGATGTGCTTGGTCTTTGTTGCTAGAATTGGGCTTAAACTAGGAGGACCCATCTTGGTGACAAGTTCTCTTGCACTTGACTATTGTTGTGGGCCAATAATATCAAAAAAGACTGGCCCATAAGAATCGATGAATACGTCAGAGTGATGGAGCCCAACAAAACACAACAAAATAAAGATGACTTCAAGGAAACTACGGAGAATGACTGGTGAATGAGGAACCTCATAACTGGAATAACAAGCAAACGAGCGAAAATGGTAAAAAAAAATGTTACAGAGCTTTCCTATAAAAAAAAAAAAAAAACATAAATGCGATAAGGAGACCGATGTATAAAACGCAAAGCATAGTTATGAACCTATTGATTACATTAACATACAGTATTTGATTGCACAGATAGTGATATCATTGACAGTGTGTATTGATTAAGGGAACCTTGAGGTAAATAAAGTTTAGGAAACAGCAGTGCAGAATGAGCATCATGAACAGCAATACATACGTTGGGGGCCCAGCTCAACAGCTAAGCGTTGGACCCGGATCTAATAATTTGATAATTTCCCAATTGGGGCCAGCACGAGGACAGGCCCAAATAAAGCCGCCCACTGGGCACAAAACGATACTTGGGGCCCATCCAGTCACAAACCCACTTGTGATACTTGATAAAGGTCGGCAGAATTTCCAGTGTGGCCGAAACGAGCGTTGGGTGATTAAAAGACGATCGAAACGTTGGAAAATGGATGAATTGTGGGGCCCGCACCAACTTTTCCAACGTTTACCGTGTTTGGTTGACAAGTTAAACGGGTGACGTGACATCCAAAAAGCTTACATGGCACTCTAACCCCCTAATTATCGAAAACCTCTTTTTAACCTTAAGATTTTATCAGAAAACATCCTTTTTAGATGAGATTTTCTGATAAAATCTCAAATTTAAAGCGGGTTTTTTTTAATAATCCCTAGATTTAAATGGGGTTTCTTGATTGTTTGAAAGTTATGGGGGGTCATGGGATAATCGTTAAAAGTCAGGGGGGTTCTTCTGACATTTATAAACTCTACGCCAACGCATGCATCCCCATCAAAATGCCAACCAGGCAAGCACCGATGATGCATCCCCCCAGAGACATCCTCGTCGAATGCCAACGCTGCATCAAACTGTTTGCATTTACAAACTACTATAGACTCATTAATCACCAACATGTATAAGCCTAAAAGTAACCTTTTATATATATATATATATATATATATATATCATGAGATTAATGGGTATTCTTATCATAGGAAAAGATTTCCCTCCTTGTCGCCTATGTGGCACAATCCTCACGATTCTCATAAAGTAATCACAAATCCCCATCAACTTACACTCTCTTCTACTTTATGAGGATGGTGGAGATTGTGTCACATAGTCGTCATGGAGGAAATCCACTCATATGACAAGAATACTCATTAATCTCATATTTCAGTTGGATCAAAATGTTGGATATTTTAGCTTGGTATATATAATTTTTAATAATATTGTAAAAATATTATAAAGTCTAAATCCAAAAAGATGCTTTATGATAGAATAAACCAAGAGAGAATAATCACCTTGCCAAATCCACTCGTACACACGACTAAATACAGCGCGGGCGCGGCCCCGCCAACAAGCACAACCGAGACGCTCGCGACGACCCCTGACGCTCACCGAAAGAAGCCTATCGGCCGACTGACACCCTCCATTTTTTAAATCGGGCCCTCGCCCTCACCAGCTGCCAGTCTCAGCAGCCGTCACTAACCCCACTCCCGCTTCGATCTCACTCCGATAGCAAATGAACCCAACTTTTTTGCTTTATTGAGTTTATTAGGGGAAGAAAAGATCTGAATTTCCCAAAATAATCGCTGCTCTTGCAGCTCGAATTAAATTTCTCTATCACAAAAATCAAATCTCGGGAAATTTCAAAAGAAAAAAAAAACAATAAGCAAATTCAATAAAGATCCCCTAAACTTCACGGTCTCATGCAATTAACGTATCATACGCCAAGAATAACATATACAATCAATCGCCGCCCTCGATCGCCGGCGTACCCCAGACCGACCTACACCTCGCCGCCCCTGCTTTCGCCCGACGGTCGAAGACACCCTAGGGGCCGCGACTCTCCCCGAGCTCGGGCGCGTTCCTCCACCTTCATGCGCGGCGCAGCCACACCGCCGCCTCCCGCCCAAATATCTCTCCGGGAGCAGAACCAAAACGCGAAATACCGCCACCGGTTCTCATCGAACACGTCTGCGTGATCGAAGCCTGGACGATCCGTATCCGATGCGCACATATCCGTCTTACCCTCGTGAATTTTCAACTCGTAACTCCCCGCCTCCCTCGTCTCTGTCGCCAGGCGGCTGCCGGTTCACGATTCGACTCAGCGACCCGAGAGTCTACGAGTGCACACGTGACTGACACGGCGGATCCGCCCGCCGGCACGAGACTGCAGCTCGCTCTCCGCGGCAGGCTCGCGAAGCCCTCGTCCGTCGGCACGAAATACGGATCCTCCCGCGCCTTTCTCCCCTCGACACCCTCGTACACCCCGTAGACCTCAGCATCGACGCGGCCTCGTTACTCTCTTTGCCGTCGACCAGAACCCTAGTTATGTTCAGCCGAGCGGCGGCGCCTAGATGCCGACGTCGCCATGGTGATACCGTACGGTCCAGCAGGTCTTCAACGCGGCGAAGCATGCTAAAAATTGTACGCCAGCGTAATTCACCAGCGAGAACAAAGAAACTAAAAATACCACAAAACAAAAAGAAGAAGAAACAGACCCCCCCCCCCCCCCCCCCCCCCCCCCCCAGCAGTGCGAGAACGCGCCGACGTATCTCAGTGCGTTATCCGCCCGAGCTCCTCTTGAGTTCACTCGCATAAATCCACATATTCCGAACTCGCCGTGGTCCGTCCCCTCGCTTGCTGCTCTGTCGTGGTTTATTTATAGAAGCGTGACGAGCTTACCGCCGGTTACCGGGATCTCGGCCGAGCATCCGCACGAAGACGGTACATCGAGGAGCGACGTGGTAAGCGGATGACCTGTCGCGACGTCGGGGACCGAGCGGCGAGATCGTAGATTGAGGAGGAAAATTCGGGACGCGAGAGATGAGACGATCGGCTGAGAAGATCGCCGGCCGACCGCGGAGGACGACAAGAGGCGCTTGAAATCTGACAAATCGGGAACGGAGCAGAATGGCCTCGATGTTAACGCGGCGGCCAGGCAGCGATAAATCAGAAGACTGAGGTAGAATGGGGATTACGGAGCATGTCCATCTGCGCCTCTCTCCGCGACAGGAGAGGAGGAAAGATGGCGGAGATAATGAGGGGATTATTTTATAATTTGTTTTTCCGAATCGGGTCACCGGAGGGTGAGGTTACCGGGGGCCCTCCGCGTCCGTTGGGTGACTGAGTTTGGACGGGGGGTTGGCGGTGAGCGGATTCGAGGGGGGGTGTTTGAGTTCAATGAGTGAACAGAGGAGCTTTTGAGTGCTCGTGAGGAGATGAGAGAGTACGCGGGGGGCGTGCTGGGACATCCAATGAGGAGAGGACACGTGTTTGTCGAGCTGTAACGGATGTTGACATGCTGGCTACCAACCGTAATTGGTATCAGTTACACGCATGTAACTGGAGTTCTAGTAAGCTATATATATATATTATTTTTTTGTTCGATCGAGTTTTGAGGTTCCCTGTAATAATTGTAAAAATCCGCTGTGAATTTGGATAAATTAGTTGAGCATAATTATTCCTTTCATTGAACTGCAAAAAGCTCTTGTGGGCCCGCCAATGAGCTCACAGTTCGATCACTGCATGATTACAACCAAAACAACATGCAATTACCAGCTAATAAACCACTATTTGATTTGTACACTGTCCCATATTGTGAGTGCAGGACTGTTTTTGTGAGATATTTTGTTGGTCATGTTATCATTACAACGTACTAGAATCATTTGATTCCTTAATAAGAAGAATGAAGATTAATAACCCCTCAGATTCTGATTACTGTCAGATCCTTGTCAAAATCAAAATTTACAATAATTTATTACTACCTTAAATCCAAACCCCTGCAAAAATCACCAAAAATCCTTGCAAGAACACTCCCCATCCTTGAACCGATGAAACCGACTCCTATCCCTCACCAAAATCTCCCTCCCATAAACCCTCGATATAACCTTCGTCGCAGAATGACAATCCCCACAAACACGCAAGTTCTTCACGATCCTGACCTGCGTCCCTGGCGGCGTTCTCAGCAACGCAAACGCAATCGCCAGCTTCTCGCTGTGCCAATGCAGCGCGTCCTCCTTGTCCTCCTCATCGATATCCAACAACATCTCA